CAGCACCTATTTGTTCATCATAGACTTGCATACTGTATTATAGCAGACAGATTGAATCATTAGCCTCCACATTTATTCACAGTGCTACACATCACTTCATAATTAGGGTAATTCTTCTGAAACAGTTCCATAATCTCTTACTTCCCCTTAAATTTTTTGGTAAGTTTACAAAAATATTTTACCTCCGCTGGTTTGAGTTTAATCTTTGTATGGATATTGAGTTTCATTTCTGTTCTATGAGTTGATGATGAAAGGTGAGTATACCAGTACAGTATTCAGCATGGGTATAAGTGCATCTTTGCTTTATTGGTTGTAAATACAGTCAGATTTTTTGGTTGTGGATTACAGACAGCATGTTATTCTTGAAGCAACCTTTTAAAAGACTCTAATTTTTTCAGTGCTATGCTTTTAAAATTTTTTTTGCCTGTGTACATAAAATCCCTTTACTGTTAGTATATAGATTTATTACATATGTTAAGTTTGTTATAATTCCGTTTTGAATGTAAGCTTTGTAGGTGGGTGATACAAGGGACAAAAGAGTATATAGTATATGTCCAAAAATCCGGACTGCTTGGGGATTGGGTCGGTCCGGATTTTCGGATTTTCCGGATTCTCAGGCAGTACTTTTAAAATTCAAATTTAAGGAGGAATAAAGAAGAGATGAACAAGTACATTTTGATAGTTTATTCATTAGCAAATATAGCATGCTTCATTTATCAAAACGAGCAGTTTTAATGAAAAAGCTGTGAATTCTAGAATTTTATTCTTTGCCTTTTTTATATCATAAATTGTAGACTTTCCAATGTCGTATGTTTCCATTAGAACAGTAATGCTCACACCACGTTCTAGTTTCTTAATTATTTCAAGTTTGTCACTCAATTTCAACGTGTTCTTCATTCTCTTCACACAACGAAGTTTATCTACTTTAGGAGCCATTATTAGGGGCTTGTACAGTACAGGTACTCTGTAAATGGAAAGAGTAGGACTCAAAATTACCGTACATATGTTGTCACAGTTTGATTGCTCGTTTTAAAGTGGCAACCACGTGGTCACTTCTTGTCGCTGTGCAGCTGTGGCCCTCACGCATGCGCACATACACACAAAAGTCCGCTAAAAAAAAGTTTGAGTTTTCGAAAAGTCCGGATTCTCGGGTGATCCGGATTTTTGGACTTTTACTGTAGTATACATTAATGATCCCCTGTAAGGTAGTGTGCCTGAACAATGTGGTATTATTCAGGCTTGGCTGAAGGTAAAAATGATAGGAATATAATATACTGTATATATATATATATATATATATATATATATATATATATATATATATATATATATATATATATATATATATATATATATATATATATATATATATATATATATATATATATATTTTGAGGGAACAATGTTGATATGGCAGACAGCTTCAGATTGTATTTTTTCAACAGTGTGTTAAGTAAGTCTGGAGTACTGTACCACTCCACACATGAGAGCAGTATTCCATTGGGTCTATTGTAAAGGTGGGCAGAGTTATGGGTGAGCCTAAAAGAGGCCGGGTTGTGTTATTTGGGACAAAAACACTTGGTGTGATCACTTTTGTGCTTGTTTTGGGACCTTTTAAGAACAGTACTGTACACCTGCTTGGAATCCACAATACTTTCTGGGTTCACAGGTAATACCGGCCAGCGACCAGAAGACATGGAAGAAGTGTGTTTATTTCTGAAGTTAGAACTGTATTTTATTAAGCCTCAGACTGCTTGCTGTATATTCGGTCAACATGAATATAATATATTATGTGGTCTCTTGTTATGTGGCTTTCAGGTTCCTGTTACAAACCTTCATATTTAACATAATTATGCCAAGACTGTTTCTTATTTTGTGACTGAGACAAAAGATTTACCATAGTCACCTTTTTCAGTGATCAACATGTGATAGGTGTAATTTTGTGCCTGTTTGTGACTGTGATTACTGTGCCAGTAATTTGGCAAACATTCCTGTACTATATTCATGTTATTTCATAGTATTTAATATAAGAAAATTACATCACTGTTGAAATAATAGAAGAATTACTTTATTGCAGCCTGGGTATAGTCCCCAGCAGTGTTTGGTTGACCCCAGCAGCCCAACACGAGGGGATCTTACCACAGCTTCTGCTCCGGGAAGCTCACCCTACACCTCCTCCCCTCTCACCTCTGCCTGCCCCCCTACACCCACCACTACCTGCCCTCCCACACCCACCACTACCACCATTGTTGATTGTAATTCAGTCACTACTACCTCCTCCACTTCCACTAAAACCACAGCCACTACTACCTCCACAAGAACTAAAACCATGAGAACACAGGACTCTCTGCTGCAGGTCAAGCCTCTATCTGTGGGCACAAACACAACAACAGCAAATGGGAAATCTAAATGCACTCCCACAGTTGCCCCAAAGACCACTCCGATGGTGGACAGGAATAATTATCCAGCTGAGGTAAGATAATAGTTTTTCTATCTTTATTTTCCAATTCAGATTAGTTTAATATTTACTTTTCATCAGTCATTTTTTTAGTTCTACACGATAAGGAAATCTTTCTATTACAGTATAACCAAAGTGGCACAGTAGTCATTTTGTCAGACATATAATATCTACTTAATAATGTAAAAGTCCAATAGGTACAGTACATTAAAACCAAACTTCATACATTAGTTATATACGTTTGGTTTAAGTTTTAATTGTTTAATGAGTTATTAATGCAATATACACAGGTTTTTGGAGTGAGTAGAGATTATACTTGTTGTGTGCAGGTTTGTGGGGGAAGGTCCATGATGCTTGGAAGAGATGACTGTAAAGGGATCAGGGTCTTGGGGGATATGTATCATTTGTTCCTCAGATTAATGGGAAAAGTCTTCATTGAAAATAATCTCCTATTAATCGAGGTGCTACTTAGATTGCATCTTTAAAATATTGTGACGTTAGCATCCAGTAAAGTTTAAAAAGAATTTTATTGCAGTAGCTTGGACAAAAATTTAAATAATTTAGGAAGTTTGGATTTCATGTAGAAATTTCAGCATTTTTGTTTGATTTTCATAGTGGTAAAATGTATCTTTTATATGTTGACCGCTTGTAATGTGGCAGGGTAGCAAGGTGGGTGGTGGAAGCGGCGACGGCATCCCTTCCAGTACCCTGCAGACGTCCCACCCAGGTTCTTACGTTCATGGCTATCCCAGCAACAGCAGCACCAGCACTTCCAACAGTACTGCAGCCTCAACAAACAGTGTGGTTTACAACAACAGTCACAGTATCCACAGCAAGACAGCCAAGAACAATGGACCAATCAACCACAGGAAAAAAGCTCTGGAGGTTGGTACACAGAAGAGCCTTCAAGAGATGGAATACAACAAACAAATGAATCAGACACCAGAGAAGAACAGAAGGCCAGTTGGTGTCAACAGCAACCAACCTGTCCAAATACCTGGGTGCCATATGGAAGTTTCAAGCAGCAACAGCAACATTCAAAACAATGTTGGTGGGACTGGAGACAGGAATGGTCAACCACAAGTGATGGCAGTCAGGAAGAGTGTGGGATGGGGGTCCCATATGGGGCATTCTGCCATGTGCCCCCACCACATGGGGGGTATGACGCCCCTTCCTGGCAGTCCTGCACCTCGGCAGCCGCCCCACCTGTTAGTGTCCCCATCATGGATGCCTTTAGCATGGCCTTCGACTCCAACGCAATCTCGTCCAGTCAACCCCAGGAACCCGTCGACCAACATCAACAAAGCCATGTGGTTGCCGCACCAGAGTCATTCATCCCACCACAGGTCTTTACCGTGTGTGGGAACCCAACTCCAGCAATCTACCCAAGCTCCACAGTCTGGGATATGTCCCCAGGTATCCGAGACAGTACCCACATCACCCCATACCATCTCCTTAACAGTTCAGGCCAAGGATACAGTTCCATGCTCAACAACAGTGACCAGTTGCAGCAACAAGAGTTCAACTATCACGTGCACCAACAGCAAGGTGAAGAGTCCTCTTGTCAGTCCACCTCAAGTGGCGAGTGGTTTTTCCACCCAGCACCTAGTTCCATATACTGGGAGTGGAGTCGAACAAACAACTTACAGGTATATGAACCAACAGCCACTGGTAATGATGCCATATTACCAGTATGGGGAAACAGCAACACCGTATTACCAATGGGCAGCTCCGGTAATGATGCCGTGGCCTTTGACACCCACTCACTCCCCGGCACTACATTCTACCCCAACCCAGACATCAGCAGCAGTTGCATCACCACTGACTATGACTCACAGTTCTTGGAGCCCTGGGGGCAATATGTCCAGTCTTCAGAATACAACCACTAAATCAACAGTGGAGTCAATGGGCTTCACAGAGAACAGTCCATGTCCAGGGCCAAAAAGTGGTAGTCACACATCATCAACCAAGATGGGTGTTCACTGTGGAATCAGAGTGCAGACTCCAACTTGTCATATAAATCCATATCCTTTATCTGAGAAACTGTCAAGGCAGACACACCCTGATTGCTACAAGGTATCAAATTCTTATACCCCTTATAAGTACCTATCCACTCCTCATGAAACGTGTGTGTCTCCTCGAAAATTCCCCAAACTAGCTCTTGCATCAAGTCCTCACCAGGCTGCTCCTGTCAGTAAGAGCTTTGGTTCTCACTCGGAGATACGCGTGAAAGCATTGCCACCTTTACATGATGATGGCTATTCATCGATGTCCATGACCCCTCCTCCCACTCCTCTTACTGAAACAGATAATGTTGCTGTTGCTAATATAAATGAATCCTAAAGTACACAACACAATAGCTACCCATCTCGGCAAAGCAAGAATTTGATCAAAGACGAGGATTTTGTTGTCGAAATAGGCTCTTGGTCGAGAACACTTTCCAAGATATGAAACTGCACTTATTTTTAGAAAAGGCAGCAAAGGTGGGCATAATATGATGGCAGATGTTACCTTAACTATGCATATTGTGTTCATCATTTTAAGTGTTTTCAAAAATTCTTGGACTCTGGTTGTGTTGACATTGTGAAAAAAAAACTGTGGCTCTTGTGATTGTGCCAAAGTCTTCCCTCCCAACCCCTCTTTGTCCGTCTCAGCCACCCCGGTGCACCCTTGATCTCCCTTTTATGTTGATACTCAGTCATAATACTAGAGCAGAATTTTTTTTTTCCTTCTTTTTTTTTTGGCGCCTGTGCTCAGGCCACTTGGAGGCATTTCTCAATAAGTTTGCTCATTTGCTACTTAATGTGATAATCTCTGTTAGAAAGTTCCAACTTGCTCAGTAGCTGCTGAAAAGGAAATACTATACTGTATCTGTCAAGTAACTGGATAACTTTAAGGTTTTCATTTTTTTGAGAAATTATTTATGTTGTTAAGTAGCAAGTTGTTTGTCAATAATGCTCCTAGAACCATCAGCTACATTACCAGAGCACCATACAGTAATTATAAATACAGTAGATCTTTGCTCTTGCACAAAGGTGACCAAATACTAGCTATTTATACATTATTACATTGTTTAAACAAATTCGGCTTGAAGATGTGGAATACAAACCAGGAAATTAATCTCTCATTTTCCCATGTTTAAGGCAGGTATTTGCAGGTACTCTTGGTGATGGCATTAAACAGGGAAATTTGGTGGGGGAAAAATGAAATAATTAAAATGAGATGAAAACAATGTTGTTGTATATGCTAAGCAGGGTCAGTTTTCCTCTAGGTTAAATTATACGTTATTATTTGTTGTCACAAGCTTCCAGCACATGAAATGAAGAATATTCGTTTTATCAGAGAGGTTGCTGGACCTGGGAGGGAAGCTACCACTGAGGCAGCAGAGTTGGTGTTGCTCGCCCCTTCATGTGTTTGCATACAGGAAAATATTTCATAGAATTTCCAGAATTTTGTGATTTGATAAAATTTCCCAAATCTAAGAATAATAATTGTGAAGTAATTTGTGTTATCTGCTTGAAATATGTTAGAAAGGTGTATTATTATTATTATCACCACAGTATAAGTGTTCAGTTTATTAAAAAAAATTCATGTTTGATTTAAAGGAAATAAATTTGTTAATTTTTGTTTGACAGATTTTGGGAGTTTTATCTTGATCTATTCAGATATACAGTGGATGACAAAGGAACCAAAGATGTATATGAAAATAAATAGGAATGTGATTTTATACGCTGAAAAAACAATACTAAATATAATTTGTAGAGAATGTAGTTTCTCAAATTTGCCTCCAATTTTAAACTGAAATTTTTTTGTGAATTTGGTCCAGTGTCAGTACACAACATTTTCCAACATACTGTTAGGATTATTTTTTTTTTTTTGGTGTGTTGGCTTTTACTTAAGTTTTGTAGTAAATTCATTACTTTTGTGTTAAGTAAAGGGAGCTGCACTTAATGAAAAGTGTAGACAGATAGTGCAGGTATCACTGTCTTTTATGGAAATTCAATGTACCTTTACTCTTTTTGAAGACTCATGATATAATACAGACAAGATGTGTACAGGATGATGATGAAGAAAGGTTTTAAATGTGCACTATACAATGCATGGGAGCTTGGTGTGTATCATGCATGCTGATACATACTGTACAATGGCAACCTGTCTATAGTAGTTAAAATATCACGTGCATTAGTGTTACTTTCCCTCCCATTATGTTTTCAGTGCAATATTTTCTTTATTTTATGTATGTTTTAAGCAGAGCTATCAAAATTTTTATTTATTTCTATTTATACTGTAAGCATATCATTCTTTGATATTCCCTATTGGTTGTGAGTCAGTGTAAGCTTCAGTGATGCTTACTCTAAGTTAAGGTTGTGCTTGAAAGAATCTGAAGTATCCCTTAAGTTCTATTGTTATCATGGAACATCTCACTGGTGCTTGATAAATCAGTACTGGCAGTGTTATGCTTTCTTACACCAGTTAGTTTGTATGTTACTACTTATTCACACATTGTATGGAGCTACAATGCATATTAGGCATTTTACCTAATAAGTGTTAACAGTTGCACCTGTGAGGAACTGTGAACCTTGGTATCCAGTGATAGTGTATTAACACCAAGTGAAGTTTTTGTTATGGACCACTTGTAATTACCGAGTACAGTATGGTTCTTAAATCTGGGGCATTTGTACCTCGGAGCAGACACTGCCACATGTTGTAATTTTTTGTTAATACAGTATGTACTCTTAGACAGTGCAGTAATTTACAGCACAATGGGTCATGGCATATGATTGCTTTAAGCAACAAGATTTACGAACTAGTGTTTCCATATGGTTCTAAGGTGTATTTCAGAATATGGACCAGTGATCTAGATCCTTTCGGCATGTTCTGTTGTAAGAAGTCATTACACCTTGTGGGCTTTGCATTTGAAATTCCCATCCATTAGTGATGTTAAATTTTAGTTGGATAAATGTGGGATAAAAGTATGTGCTTGTGAAGCAAGAAAACTAGTCTATTGTACTTCCTCGTGTGAGTAAATCAAGTAATAAGAATGTTTTATTTTTTTATTATTATTCAAATTTCCTTAATATCTACAGTACGATGCCTCGCCTACTGAAGGGTGGTTGTGGCATCACCTTGGTTACCTTAATTCATCTTCTTTGCCCTCTACTACCCTTATTTCCTGCTCCATTCCATTCCTTAATACCAGTATTGCTCCTCCTCTCCCACCCGTAGATGGTGTCTAATCATTACCCAACAAACATACATACATGAATGGCTTGATCTGTGCTGGCAGGGGCGCTGAGATCTGCTCGGTTGCAAGAGTTGGCAGTGGCCTTTATTGACTAAGAGGACCTTCCCTCTGTTATAGGAAGAAAGTATGCAGCTGATGTGAGAAATATGATGTAAGGCAATTAAAGAGGATGACAAGTTTGAGTGAGCTGAAATAAGAATGGGAAGGTGGACGTGTAATATGACACTGAAAGACAGGATGCCTTGTTCATTATAAGGGCAGTTGGGTATTGAGCGTATAATTAAGGTTATGCACAGACAGTCTGAAATAGTTTGGACTTGCGGAGAGACAAGACAAATTTGGTGGAGAGGTGCTCGACCCTCATCTGGTGGGGAAGGCCAAGAATGACATGGGGGAAAGATAGAGTATGCAATGTGGAGAGCTGCCATCAATCCTCGGAGTTCAGATATTTGCCTCTTGCCACTCCACTCAAACTCTGATGGTGTAATACCAATATCGTAACCAATTAGGTTTATCCGAGGTGCGATTACTTCTAAGCAAATCGGAGAACTGAGTATTTCACGCTTAAAAAAGTTTGCGATGATACCCTCATACTTCAGTGCTATAAATACTCTCATATTTAAAGATAGAAATTCAAAATTCTTCCTCTCCAACTACCACTGTTACATCTTTGGCATTAGCTGCAAAGACTGTACCTTCATCTGTCACCAAACAACTCTACTACTAACCTACTTCTTCCATTTCTACTTGGCGAGGCTTGCCACAGTTTTGGGCTCGGGGCTGCGGCTGTGTGGGTCTTGTTGCGTCGGTCGTGCTGCTGGTCTGTTACTACAATCATATAACAATCAGGCAATCTGTTAAACCATGACATCTATTTCTTCTTCTGCTATTCATTTCTATCCATCTGTTTTCCATCCACTGAACCTATTTTAACCCGTCACTTGGGATGTATGTGTGTATGTCTTGTAGTGAAGTAAAGAAAATTAAACCTGTACAATTGCCAGTAGTGTTCCCACATGTGGCAACTTCACAGTGATGGGTAAGACAAGTTTTTTTATAACAGTTATGATGGAGATATATATTTATTAAGGCTGCTTGACCAATACTGGACTTCTGGAGCCAATACAGTACAGTAATGTACAGTCACCCAAAAAAGTCCTGTCGCGAGCCACGATTCAGACTCGTGAACCCGAAGCAGTAGACACTGATACATTATTCTGTCCATAAATGCTTCGGATTCAAGAGTCTGAATCTCGAGGTTCATGGTTCGCGACAGGACTTTTTTGGGTGACTGTACATACCTAACACTTGCCAACTGTGTGTAACAGGGACTTAACAACTGCCCAAGTGGCTAATGAGCCGATAGGTGGCGAAGAGGATAAAAGAAAAATACAATAACTAATATAAACTCATACAGAAGTAAGGAATGTTGTGATACACTTTTAAATAACATTAGTCTACAACAATGCCGTAATTTCCATGCAAATGAGGCTTTTGTCGGGGTGGGATGTGTACCTACATAAGGTGTGAGGACAGGAGGTGGGTGTGTGTAGACTAGGGAGGCAGACTTTGGAAGTATCCTTTTAAGGTAGCTGCACCACTTCCCTTCCCCTCCCCCATGGCTCCTATTAGCATGATGAATTGCTTAACCTTTTCACAGCGGAAGGTCATCATAAGATGAATAAAATCGTCTCGCAGTAGCCAGAATAAAATGGCAAGTGCGTGACACGTGGTGAAGGGGTTAAACAATTTCCTTTTGCTCAAACTTGTAGTAAATTATAAATCATTGGGAACAGTAGAGGAAGATGTGAAGTAAGTGTACATAAATTAATGTAGTGGAAGCTGGCAATGACATAAGTTACTTTACTCCTACAATAAGGCATAATAATACTTGGAAGTCACTATACATATACTGTACTTAAAAAGCTTAAACTATAATCGAGTCACTTTTACACCTATTGTACTATAGTCTAAGGGTAGACCCCCCCCCCCCTTTTCTCCAGAAAATGCCTATACTTTTTCTTTAATGCAGAACTGTACTCCAGCATTATGTATACTGTAGTAAAACGAATTTACTTTTGACTTCAAAATATCCCCAAATATCATGTGCTTATGTTTTCAAAATGCCCATGATACTGGTCAGATTTCAAAACCCCCAGCAGGGTGGGCTATCCATGTTCTCCCACCCTCAACTTTTTGGACCCCCCTTTTGATATTCTGGATCCGCCCCTGTCAAACTTAGTCTATCCATGGTACAGTAAGTGTAAAGTGGCGCCTTGTAAGTAGATGTAAAGTGACTTCCAAGTATAAATAGTAGTTCGTAACAAACACGTTATTATAAGTTATAAAGTGAAAATTGACTTGTTTGTATAAGCATACCTATCTATTAGTCTATCTACAGTCTATAGAGAGAATGATATAGGTACCGTATAGGTAGTCGGCAGCTGTCTAACAGGGAGGTACTACCGCCTGGGAAGATATTGGAAGAACAATGTGTTGTCTAATGGTGGACCCTGCTGACATATGGCATCACAAATTTTTTTAGCAAGTCCCAGGTTGCTAATCTGACTTTCTGCCTCATTTACACAATTGAAGGTCTCAATTGTTTCTCTTGCTATTGACAACACAACAATTCATATTGTACAGTGTTTCTCACTCTTGATTTATTTTTGTATTTATGGTTATTATTTTTTTATTAATTATATTTCCGCTGCCAGGCCTTGATGTGTGTGAGTGACCTGTCCCCGGCTGGGCTAACCCCCCCCCCCTCCCCCCGTGTTCCCGGCTGGAAGTGTTCCAACATTTGTTACTTCGTTGTCAAATAATAAAATTATTATTTCGAGTGTAAAACTGTTCTTAATTACTCTGCATTATATATTTTTGTAAATACATATTTTGTCTAATTATAACTAAATTATATTACAAATAATGTAGTTTATGGATATAGAATAATGAATATTTATAATTTGTTGTAGGGGTTAGAACAATCAACAAACATGGCGGAAGGGTAGACGACTGGACGGTCTGCCGCACAAGAGAAACGACCACATATGGTTCGGTAAGTCATTTATCAATAATTATACATCAGAAATATAGCAAGAATAATACAGAGTAGTTATTATAATGCAATTTTTCAAGAAATAGTGGTAGTGGTGAATTTAGTCCATTGTATTGTACTGTGTATGCTCGTCTGTATTTACTCGGGACCTTTAGGGCTCCTGTATGCTAGACTCTTCGTTTCGACTTTTGTGGTTGTAATGCAGTGCAGTATATATATTCTCAATGAATTCGTCATATAATATATCCAGTCCTATCACGGAATATTTATTTTACGTGTATCTGGATGTGCCCATTTCGTCACCACATTTTTTGGTGAATTTATAATTTTACACCGGTCTTTCATTCGCCGATGTTAATATGTATTTTGTAATATTTAGACGTTTCTAAGACATTTTTCTTCTATGATATTTCCACCTGAAATTAAGGATAACCGAGATATTAAATTTTCAAGATTATGGGTTTACAAAGGGTTTCAACATGGGTTTACAAAGGAAAAATCTTGTCTAACAAATCTGCTGATGTTTTTTAGGAAAGTCCTCGAGGTAGTAGATAATGACGAAAATTACGATGTTAGTTACTTAAACTTTAGCAAAGCATTTAATAGAGTACCGCATTAGAGGCTTCTGAGAAAAGTTAAGGCTCATGGTATTGAGGGGAAAGTTTTAAATTGGATAAATTCATGGCTCACCGATAGAACGCAGAGGGTCAGCGTAGATGGTGTTAAATCTGAGTGGGGCTGTGTAACCAGTGGGGTTCCCCAGGGGTCAGTACTGGGCGGCAGATTAACTCGGGGCAGGACGTAAATGCACTACAGGAGGATTTATATAAACTGCAGGAGTGGTCAGACAAATGACAAATGAAATTCAACACCAGCAAGTGCAGCGTACTTAATATTGGAAGAACTAATACTGTCAATGTATACAGCCTTAACAACATCAACCTAGAGAAGTCGACTTAGGAAAGAGACTTAGGGGTACTTGTAAGCCCGGACCTACGGCCTAGAAAACAGTGCGTTAATGTTTGAAATAAGGCAAACAGAGTATAGTCATTTCTGCTACAACGTGTGTTTTGTCAACACGAATTGGCTGTAACGCGATTGATGAATAGAAGAAAGATATTTGTAAAACGCGATTCCACTCGAACGTTTTAAGTGTACTGTCGCTTGGCGCGGGGTTATGTAGTGTTTACAGTTCACGTTCGACATCACATGTTCAATTGATTCATGTGTTTTGTTTGTGAAGTGTAATTTGATAGGGACTATAAATTTCATCCTTTTTTTGCAAATTTAGGTGTTCCCATAAATACTGTATGAAGAAAATAAATAAAAATAATGTTTCGCAGTGCGGACTAATAGCATTTTACACCCGCGCTCTCTGCTTCCATCACACGATCAGTTGAAACACATGGGTTGTTTTGAAGCGTCCTCAGTGATTTATGCTTACTGTTTCTCCAATTTTGTGGTATTAACTGTGAATATGGAAAAGAAGAATATCTCGAAGGAGCGTTCTGGTGATCGTAGGATATAATACTTGAAGAGAAGCTCGATGTTATCAACCTCAAAATCACCCTTCTCCCCCATCAAGTTATATTCATATTTTTTTCAAAGTAAAGTGTTACATTTACTGTATGATTTCATTATTAGATATGAATGTAACATTTATTTAGACTGTGCTACCCTTTGTGTTAGGCTAACTACTAAATTTTTTATTTATTTAGAGTAATCTGCACCTAACCCTA